CCCTGCCGCCTGACCCCATGGGCTGCTACTACTGCTGCTGCGCTGCTCCTCCGCAAACAGCCAGGCCGTCGCCTCTTCCCCAGGATCGAGAGGCGCGGCGTTGCTCGGCACGGTAGTTGCTGCTTCTGGCCCGTCCGCCCCAGCCGCCCCACTGGACCCCGCGGGACACGCACTCCTGCCAGCTCACGGCAGGATGAGCAGGCGGAGCAGGCGGTGGAGGAGGAGCAGGAGGAGGAGGAGGAGGAGGAGGAGGAGGAGCAGGAGGAGGAGGAGGAGGAGGAGGAGGAGGAGGAGGAGGAGGAGGAGGAGGAGGGAGGAGGAGGAGGAGGAGGAGGAGGAGGAGAAGAAGGAGCGGGAGATGGAGGAAATAGGGCAGGCGATGCCAATGTCCAGCTTGACGGGTGACCAACCAGTGCGACGGTGGCAGTGTTGGCGATCTGGCGACACATTGGTGGCAATGTCGACTTTGCTGCCGCTGTCATGGAGCGGCCGATATCGAAAAACAAGCGCTGCCAGCCAAGCTGTACGCGGCCCTCGGGAAACTGACCCAGTAGGACTTCGCGTGACGTGCGGCGGAGAAAAAAAGCCTCCGCGTTCACAGCGAGCCACCTCTTTCTATTTCCTACTGCCTCCGCTCCTCCTCTTGCTGCTCGTCCTCCGTCGCCCTCCTCTTTGCCTGCCCCCCCTCTCTTCATCCCGAGTGTGCTCGGGGCCATCCGCACCCCCACGAAGTATAGAGAGGCCAGACCCCGAATCCCGAGGAGAGACCGGGGCGGGCTGCTGCACCCGCTTTGGTCTGCGATTGGCGCACTGACAGGGAGGGACGTGGTGGCCAGAGCTCCAGGGACTCGAGCGGCGACCGCTCTGGGTCTCCTTCCTTCTCGTCCCGCTCATCGCCCTCCGCCAGCGCATCCTGCGGACAAGGGCAGGTGTATTGATCCACCTCGGTCCCCCTCCCCGCTCCCAGGAGGGAGGGGGGGTACGCAATCCGAGGAGTCGGGGGGAGGGATGGGCGGGGAGGTGGGTCTGTATGACTGTCCGATTCCTGCGTAACCTCCCTCTCGTCTCTGAAAGCCGCTGCCGCCTCTTCTCGTCCTCGTCCTCCCTTCTCCCTGCCCCCCGAGCTCCGCGCCGCTTCACAGGACGCTGGGTCGTCAGGGCAGGCCTGGGCGACGGTAGCCCGGCTCCTCCCTCCTCCCTCCCCCCGCGCGTCGTCTTGGGCCTCCTCTCCCTGCCCCCGCCGCCCTCGCTCTCCTGGTCCTCCTCCTCGAGCCCGTCCTTCTGTCTTCGGGGGTGGAAGAGAGGGGGGTGATGACTAGGGGGGGGGTGGATATCATGGTGGGGGCCATGATATTTCCCCAGATTTTATGGCGCCTCTTCTTATTTCATTACGTCCCTGGCCCCCGCGCTGGGCCGCGCACATGCCGCCGGTCATGATTTGCACCCCCCCCTCTTGGACACCCCCCTCTTGGCCGCTCCCGATGTCTCCCTCGTCTCCTCTTCTTCCGCCTCCTCCTCCGCCTTGTCCTTCTCCTCCGCCCTTCTCCGCCCTCTCGGAACCTTGGGGAATCATTGTGAAGGCCTTTTTCGGCAGCATCCGAATGTCTCCTCCTCCTCCTCCTCGTCCTCCTTTTCCTCACCCGCCCCCTCCCCCTCCCACCTCCCCCATCCCATCGGTTTGATGTGGAGGGGTTACGCGGTAATTTGGGGTTATGATGTGTCCTGACGCCACAAACTTCGACAAGCGGAAAGCATTTGAGCAGAAGTGGCTAGATCGCTCTTACATCACCTATGCTTCTCGTGCCCTTGCCGATGCGTCACCTCGGTCGTATCTCCTAACTCGTTCGACGGCTCCACCCTCCACTCGTCTTGTAAGTGGCTGCCCGGTGGACGGCATAAGCCCTTGTCACCATGAAGTCAAGGCCACTATTTGGCGCACAGCGGCGTTCACAGTCCAGGACTGGGATTCCTTGGTGCAGGAGCTTCGCATCAATGCGAGCATGCTCTCTCGCTCCCACAGGTTGTCCGTGGAAACTGGTCCTGCCAGTTCTGGCAAGAGCCCCCAGGCGATTGCGCAAGGATGGGCCGATGCTGTTGGCAGCACGCCCTGGCATAAAACCTCGCGTTCTCGACTTCCACGTGGCCAGCCATGCTGCCACCAGGGGCTGTGCTGCTGCCGTCGGCGTCTCGCCGACCCCGACCCCGAGGCCTCTACCTTTCCTCCTTGGTGACCTCGCCCTTCCCAGACTCCATGGCTCATCTCTTCAGGCGTCGATGCAAGACGTGGCTAGGTGAAGCTGCGGCCCCGCCGATCTCAGAGCTACTGCAGGCTTGGCCCGAGCTGAGGGCGATTTTCTTGGCCCAGCGGCCGGCATGCACTTGGGCCCACCTCAAAACTAGAGTAGGAGGCTGGACGACCACACACAGGGTCACGGTGGAAAGTCCCAGGTGACGCCTTTTCGGCTGCTCGCAGTGCCCTGACGCTTTCCCTCACTACCTCTCCTGTCCTCGCACGGCTGGCGGGCGGCACCGCCTCTCCACACGGGGCTCTCGCTGGGCACTGCCTGCCTCACGTCTTCCCAACCGTCCTGCGGTGTTGGGTCTTCGTTTTGAAGAAGCAGTGCCCCGCGTCACTCCTTCGGCCCGTCTCGCCGATAAGCCCACCAACTAATGTTCTGAGAACCTTTTGTGGTCTGCTCGAAGTGTTCCTAGAATAGCTCTGGCTGAGATTGTTCTTGTTTGCCACATCGGGCTTATGTTCTAAGAACATTGTCTTGTCCTCATAACCCCTAACCCACGAGAATAAACCCCCAGAGATAATAATATTCGGGGTTTTCGGGGAGATTATAAAAGTTGCCCGCCAGAGCCAGCATAAAGAGATATCAAGAGGAACAAGCCAAAGATATCTTGAGGATCCTTGGTCGTTGGTCCTGTATGATACATCCTCCTCAATGATTTGTCTCGGCTGAGACATCCTCAGCGAATTGCTTGTTCCGCTTGAGACATCCTCGAAATATTTGTCTGCTTCGCTTGAGATATCTTCAATTATATATATGTATAAGGACAAGAGGAAGAGCAGGAGGAGCAGGAGGAGGAGAGAGGAGAGGAGAAGGAGGAAGCGAAAATCCAAAGTTCAAAACTTATTAGATTTAATTTGTAAACGCTTGATGAACATTAAATTTTTCATCTGCTCGTGTAGGGTAGCTCATGCGCCTCGTTTTCCCAGGATAATCAACCACATCGATGAACAAGTTCAGGGCGCCAGGGGGCGAGAAGAAGGAGAAATAAAAGAGATATATAGCGAGAAATAAAAGAAGAGCAGGAGGAGGAGGCGGAGGAGAGAGGAGAGGAGAAGGAGGAAGCGAAAATCCAAAGTTCAAAACTTATTAGGTTTAATGTGTAAACGCTTGGTGAAAATTAAATTTTTCATCTGCTCGTGTAGGGTAGCTCATGCGCCTCGTTTTCCCAGGATAATCAACCACAGCGATAAACAAGTTCAGGGCGCCTGGGGGCGAGAAGAAGGAGAAATAAAAAAAAGATATAGAGAGAAACAACAGAAGAGCAGGAGGAGGAGGCGGAGGAGAGCTCCTGAAAAAACGTGTTCGCTTCGCTTGATGTTGTTATCTCAACATAAGAAGTCGATGGCGAACTTTCCCCGTGATAATGAAGTTCGGCCTCCGCGCCCTCCGCCTCTATTTGAAAACCGTCGAGGCCGAGGATAAAAAACTCAAACGACTTAAGGGGGGGGTACTTTATTATCGTGGGTTCGTGGTAGGCCTGTAGGAATGCCGGGACGGTCGTCTCTGCTCAATCCTCCCTCCTCCCCCTTCTTGCCTCTTTGCCCTCCGCGTGTCAGTCTTTCGGCACACCCCGCACACGCTTCACGGCGCCATTGGGAGCTCCGCCTGGGGCCCGAGGTGGGATGTGTCGCATGGCACCGCCGCCCGGTGGCGGCACACCCCTTACCCGCATGGCGGTCTTGCCTTCTCTCGGCGCACCCTTCACACGACTCGTGGCCTCAGGACGAGATCCACCGCAGGCGATACTCGCAACGACGGTACTCACAACAGCATACGGTTGGGACCTTCGCCAGGATAAGTTGCGCTCCCGCCTGTCGCAGTCCTTACAGCTCGATGGATGGAGGGCAGCTCTCCTTCAAGCCGGGGCTCCCGCCAGACTTGCGGGCCCGCGGGACGCTGCCTCTCAAGGCGTCGCTTCGCGCAGTGACGCACCGTGCCTGGATGGAGGCTTTGTGGATGGGGGCTTGGGACGTGAGGGTGTGTTGCAGCATTACTGTTGATACGTCTTGGGCTAAGTCCTCCTCCTCATCCTATCCCCTCCTCCGCCGCCTCCTCCTCCCCGCTCCCCCTCCTTCTTCTGCTCCTCGCTCCTCGCTCCTCGCTCCTCCTCGTCGTCGTCCTCCTCCTGCTCCTGCTGCTGCCCCCTCCTCCTGCTTTTCCCGTGCTCTCCACGAGGCTCGAGTGCGCAGCCGAGGGTACCGTTCTGTTGCTCCGCCCGCGATTGCCGCTGTTGCGAGGCCTGGAGCAGGGGCGGAGGAGGAGGAGGAAGGAGGAGGAAGGAGGAGGAGGGAGGAGGATGGGGAGGAGGAGGAGGAGGAGGAGGAGGAGGAGGAGGAGGAGGAGGAGGAGGAGCAGGAGGAGGGGGAGGAGGGGAGGAGGAGGAGGCGGAGGAGGGAGGAGGGAGGAGGAGAGGAGGAGGAGGGGAGAGGAGAGAGGAGGAGGAGGCGGAGGAGGGGGAGGAGGGGGAGGAGGGGGAGGAGGGAGGAGGGGGAGGGAGGAGGAGGAGGAGGAGGAGAGGAGGAGGAGGAGGAGGAGGAGGAGGAGGAGGAGGAGGGAGGAGGAGAGGAGGAGGAGGAGGAGAGGAGGGAGGAGGAGGAGGAGGAGGAGGAGGAGGAGGAGGAGGAGGAGGAGGAGGAGGAGGAGGAGGAGGAGGGGCCCCCGCGTCGCCCCTCCGCCGGGGGCAGCAGCCACGACCGCCAGGCCGAGCTGGGCCGCCGGCGCCCTCTGCTGCGCCGCGCCCGCCTGGCCGCGGCGGTGGCCACTGGAGGCCGCGCGCGGCGCCCGCCTGCGGCCCCCGTAGGGCCTTCGGGCCATGCGATCTCTCGGGGGCCTCCAGAGGGTCCCGGAGGCCCTCCTCGCAGCCCCAAGGCCGTCCACGCCGACACCAGCACCGAAGACCGACCGACGCGACGGCGGAGCCGAAACTGGCCGAAGCCGACTCGAACGAGTGCGGATGAGGAGGGCGCAGCGGCGCAGCAGCGACACCACGGCCGCCCGAACCAGACCGACCGAGCGCGACCGACTGCGACGCAGCCGAGCCGGCCGAACCCTGAACAGCCTGGATCCCCCCACCACCGCGCTTCGATGGCCTGCACCGGCGCCGAGCCCCCAACCGCTCTGCCTCGAGACCGCTCCCAGGCGGAGAGATGTCCTCCCCACTTGACAGGGGGCCTTCCGAAGCGGGGCTCGACGGGAACATGCGGTGCGTGAGCGGGAAGATGAAGCCCCGAGGTGCAGGCGGGGAGATAGGACACCCAGACCAGTGCCAGGAGGGGGCCATTTTTTTTTCTTTGGAGGAGGAGGAGGAAGAGGAGGAGGAGGAGGATGAAGGAGGAGGCAAAGGCGGAGGCGGAGGCGGAGCAGGAACGACCGAGGTTTCGCAAAGGCGTTTTCGACAGCTTGCCGACGCTCACGCGCGACGGCGCGCGGCCTCCTTCGAGGGCTTCCGAAGCTCTCTGAGCCCCCCACGAAGGCCTCCGAGGCCCTCCTCTGAGACCCCGCGGAGGCCCTCGAATGCCTCCAAGGCCCTCCGAAGACATCCGACTGGAAAGCCTCCGATGCTCTCCAAAGGCTCTTCTCCGAGGCCATCCAAAGGCCTCCGAGGGCCTCCGAGGCCCTCCGAGGGCCTCCGAGGCCCTCCGAAGGTCTCCGAGGGCCTCTGGCGTGCCCAGGGTTGCCGGAGCCGGCCGTGTGTTCCTGCTCGTCTTCTCCGCCATGAGATGGACGAGTCCTCTCCTTCCCTTCCGTCCTTCCTCCCCTTCTTCCTTCCCTCCCCCGCTCCCCATCCCCTCCTCTCCCCTTCTCCTCCTCCTCCTCCTCCTCCTCCTCCTCCCCTCCCTCCCCTCCCTCCTCTCCCCTCTCCTCCCTCACTACCCTCCCCTCTCCTCCCTCCCCCCCTCCCCTCCCCTCCCCCTCCCTTCCTCCCCTCCCTCCCTCCCCTCCCCTCCCTCCCCCCCCCCCCCTCCCTCTCCCCCCCTCCCTCTTCTGCTCTCCCCTCCCTCCCTCTCCCTCCCCCGCCCTCCCCTCCCCTCCCTCCCCTCCCCTCCCCTCCCCTCCCCTCCCCTCCCCCCCCCCCCCTCACCTCCCCGCTCCTCTCCTTGCCTCCTTCCCTCTTGCGTCGTGGTGCCATTGGTTCCCCGCCGCCTGGAGGGCAGGTGTAGTGCCAGCAGCGCCCCTCGAGGGCGATCCTCCTCTACTTCCTCTCCTCCCTCCCCTCCTGGTTTGGGGGCCCGAGCGGGATCGAACCGGGATTGGGACTTCGAGCGTGGCAGACCCCCACCTTTAGTGCCGGCCTGCGTGGGGCGTGGGCTGGCCTTGCGTCCCCTTCGGGGTCTTTCAGCCCCTGGTAGAGCCCGCCCCCAGAGGGCCACTGCAAGGTGACAGCACCAGGACGCAGAGACCGCCGCCGCCGCCTCCTCCTTCTCTTCGTGCAGTGGCGAAGCGTCCCGGCTCGCCTATGGGCCACCAAAGAGTGTTCTAAGAACCTTTTGTGGATTGCACGACATGTTATTTGAACATCTCTGGCTGAGTCTGTTTTGTTTTAACACGCCTGGGTTATGTTCTAAGCACACTGCTCTTGTTCTGAAAACATTTCTGGGTTCTAAGATGATTTCGTGGTAGGCCTATAGGAATGCCGGGACGGTCGGTCCCTATTCGATCTCTCCTTCTCGCGGTGGCGGGGCGAGGCGTTCGGTCTCCAGGAGTGGCTGCCGCGCCAGAAGGCTGCCGCCGTCCCGTCTGTGCCGGCCGTGCGTCGAGGCCCGGTGGTCGCGCCAGCTTGGGGCAGCCAGCCACGCTCTCCCAACTTTGAAGTTTGGTCGGCCTGCCTCGTGCCCCGAGGCATCGTGGTTGCTCACGGCCGTGGTTTTGGGGGTCTTGTCGTAGTACACGGGGCGGTCGGCCACGCTCTCCCAACTTTTTAATTGGGTCGGCTTGCCTCGCGCCCCGAGGCCTCGTGGTCGCTCACGGCCGTGGTTTGGGGATCTTGGCGCACTTCTGTACACGGGGCGGTCGGCCACGCTCTCCCAACTTTGAAGTTTGGTCGGCGTATCTTGTGCTCCGAGGCACCGTGGTCGCTCACGGCCGTGGTTTGGGGATCTCGGCGTGCCTCTGTGCACCACCCCGTGTTCGATGGGCTTAAGCTTTCTTGTTCCGCTCCGTCTGCCCCATTGCCTCGGCGGCGACGAACTCGACCCGCTCGGGCTCGGCGCCTCCATGAACGACGGCGACGGCGACGACGACCGCAATGACCACGCTCACCCGTACGACGCGTGTCAATAGCGCCCCCTCCACGGGCAGGACCAGGCGGCTCGTGATACTTCCGCCCAGACCACCGTCGTCGGCTCCCAACGCCAGCCCGCCACCTACTTCACAAGGGCACGGAAAGCAGTGAAAGGCCCAGCGACACCAACAGCACAGGCCTAGGGCTGTCGTCCGCATGTTCCTGAGACCTCCCCTCGCTTCTGCCAGTGGGCTCGGACGGGGCCCACTGGGTGGTGTTGTCCCTGCAGTCTGCGCTGCGACGGCCCAGAGAGCCTTCGACCACTGCTCGCGTGAGTAGCCCCCTCCTCTTACCCTCCTTCCTCGTCCCCCTCCTCCTTCGAACCAGTGGGCGAGGCTGAGTCCGAGCTGCTAGTGATCGTGGCGCTGCCCGCAGCCCCTCTCTGTTGAACAGTGGCCCCTGCCAGCGAGCGGGATGCACAGTCGAGCTTGACTAGTAGGCCGACCCTGCCACCTCAAGGGTGGCCTCGTGTCCCGTGTTCCGCGACCCATGCCTTCTCACACTCCCGTGGCCATGTGGCCCCTGGAAGGGCCTCGTGTCCTCTCTCGCGTGCCCTCTCCAATCAAGTCCGACTCTGTGCCTCTCTCCCCTTCCTCCCCTCCTCCTCTCCCTCCTCCCTGCGGGCTTCGTGCGGAAGGTGGGTCTCCTGCACCCTTCGGCGTTTCCCGTGCCCGTTCAGGATTGGGCTTCGTTGTGCCTCGGCGGACGAGGAGGAGGAGAAGGAGGAGGAGAAGGAGGAGGAGGAGGGGGAGGAGGAGGAGGAGGAGGATGAGGAGGATGAGGAGGAGGAGGAGGAAGAGGAGGAGGAGGAGGAGGAGGAGGAGGAGGAGGAGGAGGGGAGGAGGAGGAGGAGGAGTGGAGGAGGAGGAGGAGGAAGAGGAGAGGAGAGGAGGAGGAAGAGGGGAGGAGGAGAAGGAGGAGGAGGAGGAGGAGGAGAAGGAGGAGGAGGAGGGCGGAGGAGGAGGAGGAGGAGGAGGACAGGAGGAGGAGGAGGAGGGAGGGAGGAGGAGGAGGAGGAGGAGGAGGAGGGAACAGGAGGAGGAGGAGGGAGGAGGAGGAGGAGAGGAGGAGGAGGAGGAGGAGGACGTGCCAGAGGAGGCACACACGTGGGACCCGAGGGCGCCAGGCCTTCCGGAGCTCGGCTGCTTGCTCTCAAGCTTCCTTTGGCCTTTTGGGGGAGGTAAGCTGGTCCGGGGGGAGGACCCCCAGGGTCCAGGAGCGGGCGTGTCCCTCTACAGGAGGAGTACTCGAAAATAGTCAAAACATAGTCAGGGGACGAATTTCTGAGTACCTTTGGCCGTCTTTTGAATATTTTTCGTCCAAGGTCCCCCTGTAGGGGGACATGCCCGACCTAACCCCAGGGTCCAGGATCGGGCGTAGAGTCCTGGGGGCGCGATCAGATGGTGTGTGTGGGGAAAAAGCAAAGGTGCACCTTTTGTGACCCTCAGGGGCTCTAGTGAGGGCCCCCCTGGGACCCAAAAGGGGGCGCGAGAGGTGCACGCTTCTGTCACCCCCCCTTCTCGCCCCCCAAGCAATGCGCGCCCGACGTGCACCGTTTCCCTCAGGACCCGCTTTCTTCCTGCCAAGCTGATGGCTCCCTGCAATTCCGCACATCCTGAATGCCGAATGCATTGCGCTGCTGTTTTCTCCGGCCGCTCCGCTTCATGGTTTCTCCTCGCCCTTGCCTTCTCCCGCAACCCACCCCCGACCCCGACACCCGCCCTGAACCGTCTCCTCACCGTCCTTCATCTTGCCCCTCGAGGCGTCCCCTCACCTTCCTTCATCCTGCCCGCTGCGCGGGCTCGGTCTGCTGGGTGAGTCCTCCCTACGGTGCCCGCCGACCCGCTGGGCGGGGGGGGGCACGGACCTCACGGCCGTGATTGTCGTTGCACGGTTGGGCATCTCAGGACTTGGAGCGGCCACTCTGCGCACGCTGGGCGCGAACCGGCTTGAAGCTGCACTTGCACGTGTCTCGAGTGGCGATCAGGACACGAGAGGGGCCCGACCCACGCCCACACACGCACAAGCCGCGGCACAGAGCGGTGGCAGGCTGCCTGATGCGCGTCTGGCCAGCATTTGTCGCAGCCTCTGGCTCAAGCCTTCGCCCAAGAAGGCTGGAATTTGGGTGCCCCTGCATGGCAGACGCGGGTCATGAGATCATGGCGGGCCCCCGCCACTGCAGGCGGCGGCGGCGGCGGCGCCACGCGGCCGTCCATGCTGCCGCGCTGCTGCTGGGAGTGGCCGCTCGGGGTGTGGAAGCCGCCCCGGCCGAGGACAGCGCCGTGCTCCTCAGATTCGGCAACGTGACGAACAACAACCTGGCGGGGAAGGGGCCGGAGTCCGAGAAGAAACGGGGCATCATCTGGTCCGATGCGGCACGCCTGGGAGACGAAGTCATAGACGTGATCGCCTTCGTGAGCGGCGACCCGGGGCTGTACACCTCCGCGCAGGCGTCCCGAAACGGGCACCGCGGTGATTTCGGGGTCGTCAACCTGGCCGCGGGCAGTACGGCCGACCTCACGTTCAGAATGTTTGACGATGCTACCACGAAGTTTGTGCAGGACGCGGAGTTGTACCTGACGATCCACGACATCGACTCGCTGTCCAGCGGGCAGAAGGAGGTAGTCACGGTCTCCGGTTTCCAGTCGTACTGCAGCTCCGACGATTCCGAGGTGGAGTTCTCGCAGAGCGGAGACGGCGTGCAGCTGACCTCAAGCTCTGGCGGCACGGATGACAACGACCCTGCCTCTCCTTTCGACATGACGCCAGAGCAGCAGAGGCGCTCGGTCACGTTCACGCTCGGGAAGGTGGCACAGTTTCCGGTGCGCTTCGAGATCCCTGGGTCAAAGAGCGACGAGGGCAGGGATTTCCTATTCTCTGGCGTGCCCATGGAGTGCGCCGTGAAGAAGAGGTGGAGGTGCGAGGACGACGTGGCACTAGCTGGGACGTGGCCGAAGGTGCAACAGGAGTGGTGCTGCAGGGCCAAGCAGCTCGGGTGCAACGTCTCCGCAGACGAAGTCTCCGCGTCTGACAACGAATTCGACTGCAATTCCGAACCTCGCACGTGGTCCCAAGGGGAGCAGGAGTGGTGCTGCACACACCAGAAGAAGGGGTGCAATGTGCAGGTCGACCCGTACGACTGCGAGGAGGGGCTCTGGAACTGGAAGCACGAGTGGGCGGACGAAAAGCAGAGCTGGTGCTGTGAGCACGGGGGCGTCGGGTGCCTCGAGGAGGAGACGAAGAGCCCTCCGCCCGAGACCTACGACTGCCAGCCTGGCAACATCAACCCCGTGAGGAGGTGGTCGGAGCAGAAGAGGCAGTGGTGCTGCGAGCACGTGGGGCACGGCTGCCTGGCCGCGGACCCGAAGGCGCTGGAGGGCCTGCCGCCTGTGACCCACTGCGAGGGGCGCGAGACGCACTGGGTCGAGTGCGAGAGCCAGCCCACGTGCCCGAGCTGCGCTCCACAGGACTGCATCTTCTCGGAGTGGGACGAGTGGACCGTGGGCGAGGGCTGCACCGGCCTCTGTGAGCGGCGGCGGACCATCATGCGCGCGAGCAACGAGTGCGGCAAGCCCTGCGAGGGCACGAGGGTGCAGACCGCTGCTCGTGACGAGGCAGGCCGCTTCGCGGGGGGCACGGCCGAGCAGACAGTTCCAACCAGGACGCTGCAGACCAGCGCCTCAGAGGCCAGAGGAGGAGGGAGGAGGAGCAGGAGGAGGAGGAGGAGGAGGAGGAGGAGGAGGAGGAGGAGGAGGAGGAGGAGGAGGAGGAGGAGGAGGAGGTGAAATTCTGACTTTGCCCTGGAGGGCAGCGCAGGCCAGGACGCTGCCGGGTGCAGCGGAAGAAGGCGAGGCACGGATCACGTCTCGACCCACGGCCGCAGCCGTCCAGGGTTTTGCCAGTGCCCCTCCTCGGGCGACGCGTTGCCCTCATAGCCTACGACGGGGTCTCCCTCCTTTCTCAGACGCCTCCGACTCGCACCCTCCCCGTCCCCCCGCTCCTCCTCTTCCTCGGGCTCCTTCGTTTTCTGACTCACTCGCACTCAGGCCCTCTCACATCTTCCTCCCTCCCCACTCAGACTGACTCATACTCGAACTCACTCACACCCAGGCTCACACTCACGCTCGCAGAGTGTGAGGATGTCTCAGCCGATCGGCTGGTTTCGGCACCCCAAGGGGGAGTCGCCAGGTGTGGTCTCACGACCCCGTTCACGGCCAGATTGTGTTGCGATACCTCGGGCGGTTTGCCTGTTTGGTGGTTTTCATTTTGGCGCTTCCAGAGGTGATAATGTCTCAGCCAATTTGGTAGGTTTCATTCTCATTTTGGGTTTTCATTTTGGTGTTCTCATTTTGGGTTTTTATTTTGGTGTTTTGAGTGTGATACGGTCTCAGCCAATTTGTTGGTTCCGGTGCCCCAGCAGACAGTCTGAATGGGGGCGCTTTCAGAGGTGTTCGACGGCCCCGCTCGTGGCAGGATCGTGGAGAAGGCTCGAGCTGTGCGCTCGTTCTGCACTTCAGACGCGCGTCCATTCTCAGAGCCCCATGACCACTTCGATGTTTGGAAGAGGACGGCCGCCAGGGAGGAGCAGGGGGGGCGGAGGAGGAATCGGGAGGGCGCAGGAGGAGGGAGAAGGGAGGAGGCAGCAGGAGAAGGGAGGGGCTACGGCGTGCAGCACGAGGAATCAGCGGAGAGGGGAGGGGGCCGCCAGGAAGGGTTCATTTGCCAGGGAGGAGGAGGAGGCTAGACCCGACCTGAAAGGTCATGCAGAATACACTCAGACCAACCTAGGGCCCCCCCGCAACCCCTGACCCTAGCTTCCCCCAGCCGCAGTTGGGAGGAGCCAGCGGTCAGGGGTCGAAGGGGTCAGCAGGGTGGGAGGCCGCATGGCCCCACTGCCTGGCCGCCAGGGCCCTCGTCCTGGCCTCAATCGGGGGTGGACAGAACCCCCAACAGTGACACGTCGATTAGTGAATTGTCCTTTTCTGGTTCTCGAGAGGGCGCCGCGGCCGTTATTTTCCATGCTCGCGCCCGCCAGGTTTGGGCCTCAGGTCGTTTTCACTGAACCACGTTTTACTAAAGGGAGGTCTGTCCAGCCCCGACTCAAGAGCTCTCGACCCCAAGAGCTGGGCTTTGGCCAGCTGGAGCCCGAAGAGCGGGAGCACCTCCAGAATCGAAGGCCTTTTCGGGCCCTCCGGCGCGGGACCTGCCTGGGTCGCCTCCGAGCGCAGCGGGGAAAAGTGCTCGGACCAATATTGAATCTCGGCAGCCGAGGGAGACCTGAGATCCCCGAGCCTTCTCGCACCCCCTTTGGGATGCTTGCCCTGGCCGATGTTGTTATCATTCTTGCTACTCGGGATCGGCCGACCTGGACAGTTATCCTGGAGGCCGCGCCCTCTCCTGTCTGAAACATAACCTCCACAACAGGTGCAGAACAAGGAGGACCGAATTTTCACATGCCTCGGGGAGAGGGGGCGCAGCGAGCAAGGGGTGCCTGCACACGCGCCACGGCCTCAGCGTGCCGTCGAGGCCTGGCAGCAGACCCCCCCCTGTGCGCACGGGGTCCGCGCTGGCTGACGGGGCCGTAGCTTCCTCGCAGGCCTCCGCAGGATCCACGGGCCACTCGCCCAGGTCGATGATCTCCAGGGCCCGATCCTGAGATGTGCACCTCCTGCGCTGCTGACAACCTTGCCGCCAGGCGAGCGACGGACTGGCAGCCCTCGATGCAGTGGATGTCGGATCTGTCCGCCCGCACTGCGGAGGCACCTTCTTTGCCTCCAGCATCGGCCAAAGCGTTGCCATCGAGCTCGAACCGCGTGATCAAACCTTCCCTGACGGCTTGCGGCCCCGGGTGGGCCCTGACTTCGATGACCTCAGCGTCCTTGAGCCTCTCAGCACGTCCAGCCCAGAGGTGGGCTCGCTGGCTGCCTGCAGCCGCCGCCGCCGCAGGGTTGCCAGCACATCGCACCGTCGCGAGACAGTCGCAGTAGAGCTTGAAGGAGCCCCCCCGCGATGGTGTCGGTGAGGACCTTCACTGCATAGTCCCCCCCCGTCTCTGGCCAGCTGCTCAGGCCCTTCCGACAGCGGGACCGAGCCCCACGCCTCGGCGACCAGCCTGCGGTTCTTGTCGTAAACGATGGTGGGCCAGCCAGCAGTCCTCAGGCTCGGGTAGTTCTGATCGAGCTCTGAGCCATCGACGAAGACGTGCTCTCCGTCGGCGAAGGGCCCGAAACTCAGCCAGCTGGTCGTGTGCTTGAAGTAGTAATCTAAGCGTTTGACTCGGTTTGTCGTTTTCCGCAGGAGGAGGAATAGGAGGAGGAGGAGGAGGAGGAGGAGGAGGAGGAGGAGGAGGAGGAGGAGGAGGAGAAGGAGCATTTGGATGAGGCGAATGGGTCGCTGAAGTGTTACTACACTGGCTTCTGCTTGGCATCTCTCCTCGCGAGCTCGGCCTTGCTGAAGGCCTTGAGCCAAAGACCTTGGTAGATTCGCTTACGGTAATCAATTCGATTACCATCCAGGCGGCCTGAACACTGTTCACTTAGTTTCGCGAGCTGTTCGGCTGCGAAGCACCCACAGACATTACAGAACCACACTCCGACCCTCTAGTGAAACCTGAGTGCGTGCGAGTGGTGAGCAATCCCCCCTGAAATGTGCACCTCGGCCCCAGGAGGAGGTTCACATACCTCGCCGTCCACATTAATAGGGTCAAAACATGGTGAGTCCAGCCAAACCTTTCTCCTGGCAAGGGACGTCGAACTACGACACTTAGTGCAGGAACGACCGTTCTCACCCAACTGATGGGGGGAGGCGAAGGCTGCACACATGCTAGGGGCGGGATGCCTTACAACGACCGTAGCTCTTCGTCGCCCACAGCCATTCTGACGGTCCTCTCTCTCTCGAGACAATCCTCGGCACGAATAGCCTCAAGGGTACTCTGGAGGATCCTCATCCTAACCGCGAAGGCCATACAGTCGGGGCGCTGGAGAAGGAACCCTTTTCGTTGGGGAGGGGCTCGGTGTTCCTTGATTGTTCTGCAGTTTGCCTTGGGTTGTCCTTATGTTTTCGATGGGAAATCGAAGTTTAACTTGTGGAAGCAAGGGGCCTCGTTCCTTATTTAGGGTTCCTTAGGTCAACGCCTCGACTGTACACTCGACTTGTTCTACTCTCGCACGGGTGGCCTCAGTCCGGCGCGCCGCCTCGGCGCTGGGGGCGGCCAGGCGGTCAGCCTCTTGATGGCCCGCGATGGAGTGCCTCGGGTTCTGGGCGGAGGCCTGGTGCAGCTCGAGGGGGGAGGTGACGAAGAGAACTGCTACTCCAGATTTCCTAATAAAAAGGAGGGGCTCACAACCCTCCCAGACGAGAAGTTTTAGACCCCCCCCAGACCATCCACGAAAGGGCGGCCCTTTGCCCAGACCCCCCGAACCCTCCAAGGACAGCTCAAATCAGACCCCCCCCCAATGTGACCCCCCCACTTTATCATTGAATCCGGGATGCCTCCTCCCGGTCCTTCAGCGCCAGCCCGGTGGAGTGCCACAAGTCGGCGTCGTTACCTGTGGGTACCCTCCGCTTCTGCTCGTGCCAGCCCGTACAGACCGCTGCATTGTCCGTGATGTAGAATAGGCGTCCTGGAGCTGTCCTGATGGCGTACCAGAGGCAGTACAGCTCAGCCCGTGATACCGTTTGCCGTGGGCCTGGTAGAGCTGCCCATCCGCCACATATCGCCTGCATGTTCTCGCCAAGGGCATCGAACACCGCAAGGCCCATGCCCACTCGGCGTAGTCTGGGAGACAACGTGTCCCTGCCCTCACGTGCATCTCCAAAACAGAACCAGGGTTTCTCCTCGGACCGTGGAACCAGATCAGCAGTGGCCGCCCCGTTCGGCTGCAGGTGGCGGTTCGACCTCGACCCACTTGGCTGGAATGAGTCCCCCGGTCCAGAAACACTCGTCGGACTCAGCCTGAGTGTAGGCCTTGCTCGAATACTGTTCGCTGAGTTGATACACGGGGCTGCTGGACTTAGCGGAGCAGCACCACACGCGATGAAAACTAGTCTACACCTCCTGTCGGCATCTTGCACATGTGGTCGAGATCTGCTGCTTGCAACGAGCTTGTCGCCTAGCCCGAGGCCCGGAAGCGGCCGTCGCAGCTGCGAGCATCAGGCCTGTGAGCCTTCTACCGCCAGGGGCTTGTTCGAGCTGCTTGAGCAACTGTCGGTAACTGTGGTTGCATACACCGTCTTCCATCCTAGCGCCTCCAAAGTGCAAGGCCGCCTTGCGCCACAGATCTGCCTGGATGGTTCTCTGAACGTCCTGGAAGAAATCGTTGGGGACGTCAATGGCCGCGTGCCCTGTCAAGGAATCCGTCTGAAACACCCACCCACCAGTATGATCTGGAATGTCCCCCGTTCTCTGTCGGTCCGAGGGCCAGGAATCTGCCGTCCCATTGCCAGGCATCAGCGAGGAATTGGTGACGCCAGGTTGTGATGCATGTCCTGGCTTATAGTCGGACCGAGGTACAAGATCGAGGTCGGTTCGGGGAGGATGCCCTCAGGTTCTTCGTGTTCGTTGGATGCTCTTGCGCATCCTGGGGAGGGTTCCCTTACATGTTCTGTGCGTTTTTACCGGTGGAGGATCTCATGTTCTTGAGGGATGTTGAAGCGTGTGGTGCTGCCTTAGACGCCTCTTGGAGACCTCTTGGGCGCAGTTCTAGCCGTCTCAGGGTCCTCGTGGAACATCCCAAATCACATTGTGGCCGTATCGGGGCAGTGCTGGTGCCCTCTTGGGCCAGCTGGGGGCAGGCTGGAGGCCGCCCAAACGGTTGGGTCCGAGGAGATGGTGTCAGAGGATCGCGCCGTGTCGCCGATGCATCGGCGACTTTGGCGATGCGTTTGTGACGTCGGCGTGGACAGAATCGGGCTCTACAGCCGCCGCCGATGCGTCGGCGGCGCGATCCACCCGCCCCTTCTACTTCGGCCCTGCTTGGGAGGCCTGGAGAGGCTGGCCCGCGCCCGCTCCTCTGCCGCAGTCTGTCCGTGGAAGCGTGCAGTCTCGCGGGGCAGGCGGCCAGACGACCACTCCGCTCCGCCCACCTCGCAGGACCGGCAGCGACACGCGCGGGATGCGAGGCCGGAGCCCGCGGTGGCCGCCTCGCACAGCCCCACCGCCTGCCGCGGGCCAACCCGGGCGCTTGCTTGCCCCTTCCTCCTCCTCCTCCTCCTCCTCCTCCTCCTCCTCTTCTCCTCCCTCCTCCTCCCGTGGGCGCACGGGGGCCACCCTGGTGGGAAGACTGCCGCCCAGGTCGGGCGGCGAGCTCTGCACCTGCCCGCTGCCCCTGGCCGGGCCAAGCCTGGGCCCAGGGGCGGCGCAGGCGCCCTCCTGGCTGGGGCAGAGAGGCGCATGCACCGCTCCTGGGCCCAGGATCGTCGGCCTGGGGCATTGGACGCGTGGGGCCCGGCCTTCGAGGATCGAAGCCTAGACATGATCGCGCCGTAGCAAATATTAGGACGGCAAGTCTTTCGCTGTTTTCGGCCTCTGGGGCCCTCGCCCGTCCCTGGGACCGTCAAAAAACGACTCCGGATGAAAAGCCGGTCCTGGGGGAAGGGTCTGGAGTTCCGGGGACGCCGTCCTGAAAAAATCAGGAGGTCGTATGTCTAGGAGGGTCATCTCTTCCTCGGCGGAAGGCTGTGGAAGGGCGGCGGAAGGTCGGTGGAAGTGTAACGAGGCCGCCTCCGCCGGCGGAAGCCGGCGGAAGTAGAAGAGGTGCCCCCAAGATATGAACAACGTTTTTGGGTGCAGGTTTTTCTGGAAGCGCCCATGCGTAGATCTCGTCGCCCTCGCAGACCCCGCCCCTGGTGAGCCAGGGTCCCTCCACTGCACGAGGTTGGGCCCGGCCAAAGGGGCGGGCTCAGGCCGGGAAGCGCCCCGCACGCCCGGTGGCTCGCCGCGGGCTCGGCAGACTGCTACACTCAGGAGTGCGGGGACCGTGTGTCCAAGGACTGTCAGTGGGGCGTGTGGGACGACTGGAGCGAGTGCGCGACAGAGGTCGCCCAGTCCTACCGGAAGCGCGTCATCGCCATCCCGCCGAGCGCGAGCGGCATCGCGTGCGAGGGCGAGTGGAACCAGACCCGGGCGTGTGGGGACAACTCCCGCGCAGCCGACTGCGAGCTGTCCGAGTGGGGCAACTGGACGGAGTGTACCCGGTCCTGCGGTGGCGGCTGGAGGGCCCAGATGCGCCACATCGACAAGCGCGCCGGCCACGGCGGCAAGCCTTGCACCGGCGTGGTGAGGCGCACGGCCCCGTGCAACCCGGAGCCGTGTCCGGAGGGCGGCCCCAGGTGTGAATTGTCCGAGTGGGAGGAGTGGTCAGGCTGCCGCCCGCATCAGGGCGTCCTTCAGCAGACGCGCAGTCGCGTCGTGGAGAGCGTGAAGGAGGCAGCGGGCGACGAGAGCTTCTGCAACCACGACCTGCAGGAGACCAGGGAGTGCTCCGATCAGCCCGACGTCTCCTTCGAGTGCACGCTGGAAGACTGGTCTGAGTGGTCGGCGTGCAGCGCGGCGTGCAGCGGCTTCACCCACCGCAGCCGGAAGGGCGTGGACGAGTGGCACTCCGAGCACTGCTTCCTGGGCGATCGGCTGGCTGTGCTGAACGAGTCGGCACCCTGCGGCCCGAAGTGCGTCGCGGGCATAAACTGTGCGCTCTCGGAGTGGTCGGAGTGGTCGGAGTGCTCCCAGAGCTGTGGCTCGGGACTGTCCGAGCGTAGCCGCTCTGTGCTGGAAGAGAGGAGCTGCTCTGCGGTCCTGAAGGAGACCCGGGAGTGCAGCGCGGAGCCCTGCGAGCCCGTCGACTGCGAGTGGGGTGACTGGGAGGATATTTTTTTGTGATTCGGTGAACCTGTGATGCCGGTTGACGTGGCGTTGCTTCTCCCCTCTTCCTCCCCGTAATTTTCAGGAGGGGAAGAACACACAGACATACATTGATTGTCGATTCCCTGGCAAATATAAGAAAATATGGGAAGTGTGGGGGGAGACGAAAATCCAACAGATATGTAAACCTATGGGGAATCCTAGGATTTGTGTGTATTTATTTGTGGGCCCCTGGGCCCCTTCAAATTAGCGGTACCGAACGTGCGAGGGTGGGGCTGCTATCTTCCCCACAGGCACGGCGCTGTGTTCACAGGCATGCCGTGGTGTTGACGGGCATGCTTTGGCGCTCACAAGCAAGGGAGGAAAAACCACCTAGACCGGACAATTGGTGTTTACCAAACGGCCCTGGGCGTTTACTAAACAGCCCTGCCCTGTTTGATTCCTTCTTTGGGTGCGCTTACTAAACGGCTTCGCGTGTCGGGGTGGTTAATTATCGGGGTGGATTTTTTTCTGCCCTCTACACAAGCATGCCGTGGCGCTCGCAGGCCCGACCCCGCCCCCTCCGTAACGGACGTTGCGGGGGGGGGATCATAATGAATCTCCAGGACTGGAGCAGGTGCTCGACCACCTGCGGAGGTGGCAATAAGCGGCGCCGGCGCTACGTGGTGGTAATGCCTGAGAACAACGGCACTCTGTGTGACGCCGCGACCAAGTCTGAGGTGGAGGCGTGCCACACTCAGAACTGCACACCTTGTGTCGACGGCAAGTGGGCCAGCTGGGGCGACTGGTCTGACTGCACTGCGACCTGCGCCCCCGCGTACAGGAACCGCCACAGGGACCTGGACAGGCAGGCCAATCTGTGCGGGAAGCCTGCGAGCGGTCTCGGAGACGAGTTCGAGACGTGCCGCGATCTCCTGAACTGCTCGGCCCTCCAGGAGTCCCGGAACTGCAAGCTCTCGGACTGGGGCGACTGGTCGGACTGCAGCTCCAGCTGCGGGGGGGTGAAGAACCGCTACCGAACTGTGCTCCAGGGGGCGCTGGGCTTGGGCACGCCGTGCAAGGTCGCGCGACGAGATCTACACAGACCCACTGCCCCAGGCCAATCCTGGGTCCAGGACTGTTGAAGATGCCTCCCTGGCTAAGCCAGGAGGGCGTACACACCGCTCCTGGTCCCAACATGGGCCCGGCCAGGTGCAGCGCTTCTTGTGCCGATCTCGTCGCCCTGCAAGGGTGACCTGCAGCACGTGGAGACATGCTCCCCCGACGCGGCCTGCTTCCCGAAGGAGGCGGTCAACTGCTCGATGGACGACTGGGCCGACTGGACGCAGTGCTCGGCGAGCTGCGACGGCGGCCAGCGGAAGCGGACACGCAACATCTCGGGCGGCGTCGGCCCACTGCCTCACCGATCCTGCTTGGGCCCGTCCTGGGCCCAGAGGACCGGCCTGACCAGGACCGGTGAGGTGGTCAGACGACGCCGCCCGAACATCACGAGCATGGCCCAGCGCGGGGGGCAGGGGTGCCACAACGAGACGACGGTGAAGGTCGAGGCCTGCGGGACCGACCCCTGCGATCCCGAGTGCGGGCCCTGCGTGTGGGAGGACTGGTCCGACTGGGGCGACTGCGTGAAGGACGTGCCGGAGTGCAGTAGCCAGCGCTACCGCGAGCGCAAGGTCCTGACGCAGCCCGGCAAGTGCGGAAGGACCTGTCCCCACGGCTCGCTCAAGGAGGCGAGCAACTGCTCGCTCCCCTGCGACGCTGGCACGCAGTCGTACTGCGTCTGGTCGGACTGGAGCGACCAGAGCGAGTGCCAGGGCTCCTGCGAGTTCGCGACCAAGAGCCGGGTGCGGAAGTTGCGCGTGGTCAGCTACAAGAAGCTGGACCTGGAGCTGGAGGGAGGCGAGCCCAAGGAGTCAAGGGCCGCCTGAATTGGGGCCGGGGCGGCTAGGGTCGGAGGATCGTGTCGCATCGGCGATCGGCGATGCGGCGTCTTCACCCCGACGTCGCCGATGCATCGCCGATGTATCGGCGATGCGGGGCGGTCCTCCGACGACCCCGTCTGCTCTGGTCCACGCGGACGGCCTCGAAGGAGGCCGTGCTCTTCAAGATGACCGGCAACGAGCCGTGCAACGGGACGCAGGAGGACTCCGCGGTCTGCAGCCAGGACACGTGCGGCAGCGAGCAGGGGCCAGCCGACTGCGAGTTCGACCCCTGGAGCAGGCGGCTCGACCCTGCGGAACAACCCTACGCATGAAAGCCACACCGCGTGCCTCTCCCGGAGGCCGCCTCGAGCGGTAAAGAGTGGCAGTGCGGGTGGTTGGAGTGTCCACGGTGGCGGTGACGATTCTGAGTACGGCTGCGGTGGAGGCAGTAGCGACGACGACGAGACTGGTGTGGTGGGTGCGGGTGTGACGAATCTGACGATGATGGTGATGGCGCTGATGCTGGTGGTGAGGATGCTGATGTGGACCGTGCATATGGTGATGGCGACGATGGTGGTGACGAGGATGTCTGCTACGAGGATCCGCCGATCTATGCGAGCTGGAATCGCTGCAGCCGGGCCCCAATTGTCCCGGGCAGGCCTCGGACCGGCCACAGAACGCCGGGTGTGAGGGCCACCGTTGCAGCCCAATGAATGCGTGCTCACACTGTGGGGGTGCGGTGTGGGGCCTTCCGGTTGCGGTTGCGGCTGGGGGTGCGCGCGCGTGTGCGTGTGTGTGTGTGTGTGTGTGTGTGTGTGTGTGTGTGTGAATGTGTGTGTGTGTGTGTGTGTGCGCGTGTGCGTGTGTGTGTGTGTGTGTGTGCGTGTGCGTGTGTGTGTGTGTGTGTGTGTGTGTGCGTGTGTGTGTGTGTGTATGTGTGCGTGTGTGTGCGTGTGTGTGCGTGTGTGCGTGTGTGTGTGTGTGTGTGTGCGTGTGTGTGTGCGTGTGTGCGTGCGCGTGTGTGTGTGTGTGTGTGTGTGTGTGTGTGTGTGCGAGTGTGTGTGTGTGTGTGTGCGTGTGTGTGCGTGCGTGTGTGTGTGTGTGTGTGTGTGTGCGTGCGTGTGTGTGTGGCTTTCCGCGGTCGGAAGGCGCTGCCACGTCGAAGCTGCCGGTGCGGTTGCATGTGCGGTTGCGGGGGCCCCTCGGCCCCATTTGCTCAGATGTTGCACTACCTACCCCGCTTTCGCTTCCAGGCAAAGCCAAGTCATACCACGCGCCTGCGCCTCGTCAAGGACCATGACCGTTTCGGGCCGCCCCGCGGGTAGTTTGGTATCCTTTGGCTCCCGTCTGGAAGCGAGGGTGGTCAGAAGCGAGGTAGGTTCGCTTGCCTCTTATCGAAGGCGCCTACGGCCAGTCACCGCATCCCCTTGCCTTTTAGGATACGCCTATGTGGCCAAATGATTGGACGAAGTTTGGCCACGCTATTGGATCATGCGTTCCCCAAGCCGTTGTGGAAGCCCTTCGGGGAATACGTGGGGGTGGAGGAGGATGAGGAGAGGGAGGACAAAGGAGAATGAGGAAAAGGATGTGGAGACCTCTTAGGAGCTTCCTGGGTCACTCAGGGGGACTCCTGGGAGCTTCCTGTGGGCCCACTGGAGGCCTCTCGGGAGCCTCCTTGGGCCTCTTATGGGGCCTTTGTGAGCCTTTTGGGGGCTTCTTGGGGGCCTCTTTGGCCGTCTTGCGGCGTTCTCGGCCCGTCTGACGCCGTCGGAAGCCGTCTTGGGAGCCTCTGGGCCGTCTCGGGGTTCTCTTGGAGCGCTTCAGCGTCGTCTTGAAGGCCATCTTGGCAAGGGCTCCCACGAGGGCTCCCATCTTCGCGCAGCGCGAAGCGCGAAGTTGGGAGCCCTAGATCTTGGGCGCCTTGGAGGCCTCTTGGGCCGTCTTGGGGCCCTTTGGGGGCCGTTCTGGGAGCCTCTTGGGCCGTCATGGGGCAATCCTGGAGGCCTCTTGGGCGATCTTTTGGCAAGATTGGTGGCCCCTTGGGCCGTCAGGAGTAACAACGTACCAATGCAATCAATGAACAAAAAAAGGTGGTCTGACCCTACGTGCACGAACCTGTGCCAGCGCCACCGGGGCATTGCCCGCCCGAACGATGAGGGCGGGAAGCCTTGTAGCGGCTCGATCGTGGAGGCGAAGCCCTGCAAGTACGACTGCAACGATGCTGGTGCCGATCCGCAGGACTGTTACTACAGCGATTTCAATTGTTCGCTGGCTATCGATTGCCTCTTCAGCGATTGGACTGGCTGGTCGGAGTGCAAGTCAAAGGCGGACCAGGGCTACCGAAATAGGACTGTCCTTCAAGAGTCGAGGCGTGGCGGTAAAGAATGCGAAGGCCCACTGGAGGAGACACATTCATGCGTCGACCCCGACGCCGAATTGGTCGACTGTCGTATCGGAGAATGGCTGCCATGGTCTGAGTGCTCCCGGACCTGCGGCGGCGGCGTCCACGAGAGGTCGCGCGAGATCGCAGTGCAGCCACTGAACGGGGGTGCGTCTTGCTCGGGCCCCCTGAAGCAGGCGCACGCGTGCAACACGCAGCAGTGCAGCCACGACGATGCGGACCGCCCCTGCGAGCTGACGGAGTGGGCCGACTGGGGCGAATGCAGCGATGATGGCACAAAGGTGAGGCACCGAGAGCTGAAGCACGACGCCAGAGGCAACGGGGTGCGGTGCAATGGGGCCGTCAAGGAGACGGCGCGCTGCGAAGGGCCAGTAGACTGCCAGATGACCGATTGGCAGGAGTGGGAGGCCTGCGACAAGTCGTGCGCTGGTGGGCAGCAGCAGCGCAAGCGCCAGATCCTGGCTGCCCCCCGCGAGGGCGGCGAGGAGTGCCCCGCGGATGTGGTGGTGCTGCGAGGCTGCAATGCGATCCCGTGCAGCGAGGACGACGCGCAGGTGAGCGAGTGGAGCTCGTGGAGCGCGTGCAGCAAAGACTGCGGCGGGGAGCGGACGCGGCAGCGATCGGTCCTGCACCCGGCTCAGGGTGGCGGGTCCGCCTTCTTCGGTGCGCTCGCAGAGACGGAGCCCTGCAAAGCCCAGCAGGGCTCGCGCGAGTGCGCGGACTGCACGGAGTGCGCCTGGGCCGAGTGGTCGGAGTGGAGCGGCTGCGACCGAGACTGCGGGGGCGGCCAGCAGAGCCGGGAGCGGGACGTCCAGACGCCGCCCACCGCGGGCTGCCCGCCCTGCGAGCCCCTGGACAAGCACGAGCTGCGGGCCTGCAACACCCTCCCGTGCGGCGCGGACGCCGGCACGGAGTGCATCGACGGTAATCAAGAGGGGAAAACACACACACAGACACAATTAATCGTCGATTCCCCAGAAAATATGGGAACATATGGGAAGTGGGGGGGAATACAAAAACCCAGAAGTATGGGAACATATAGGGAATCTTTTGATTTGTGTGTATTTATTTGTGTGTCCCAGGGCCCCTTCAGGTAGGTGGGGCGCGTGGACGCCCTGGAGCCCGTGCTCCGCCACGTGCCAGGGGGGTATGACGTCGAGGTCCAGGGACCTGGAGGTGAGGCCGAACCAGTGCGGCAAGCCGGTCGAGGGCCTCTCCACGGAGCACGCGAGCTGCAACGAGCACGTCACGTGCCGGACCGACAGGGACTGCGAGTTCGCGGACTGGGGCTCCTGGACCGCGTGCGAGGACCCCTGCCACGGCCTCAAGCAGCGCGAGCGCCGCATCCGCGTCGAGGGGGCAGGCGACGGGGCGTATTGCGACGGCCCGCTCGGGCAGACGGCCCCCTGCCGCGAGAGCACAGAGTGCCAGGGCGTTGAGGCCTCGAAGGTGAAGGACTGCGAGCTGAGTGGCTGGAGCCCGTGGGGGATGTGCTCTGCGGAGTGCGGCACAGGGCAGAGGTTCCGCTCCCGCGACATCGTCACCGAGGGCACGCCAGGCGGCAAGCGGTGCAGCGGTGATCGGCGGCGCGCGCAGTGAGGGCAGCGCGAGGGGGGTGGCCTTCTGAGCAGGCGGAGGGGGGCTTCTCGGGAGTAAGGGGCCTTCTTAGAAGGACCCAGAGGCTTCTGATGGGAGCTTCTCGGAAACCGGGAGGGCTTCCGAGGAGTCCCCCGCCCTTCTTAGCGACCCCCCTCGCCTTCGTCGAAGTCCTGTCCCGCTCGCGCTGCCCCCTCGTGCGCGCCGCCGAGGTGACTTGCGGGAGACGGGCATCTGCAACTCCAGCAGGCCGTGCGACGAGGAGGCCGAGTGCACGCCGACGGACTGCCGGTGGTCGGACTGGGGCGACTGGAGCGCGTGCGACCACGAGGAGAGGCGCCGGGTGCGGCACATCACCACGTACCCCAAGTGCGGCGGCGAGGGCTGCAACCCAACCGCCGCGGAGGAGATCGCCGAGTGCTCGTTCATACGCCGCAGCGAGACGTTCTGCATCTGGGGCGACTGGTCGAAGTTCACCGACTGCTCCACCACCTGCGGCAGCGGCCTGAGGAGCAGGCAGCGGCACCTGCTGCTGGCGCTCAGGGCCAACGGCACCGACGCCGCCAACGGCACCGACGGCGCCGGCAGCCCGGGCGGCGCGAACACGGAGGCGTTCACCAGGCTGTTCTCCAGCGCGGACTTCGAGCTCGCCTGGAGGGCGGAGGCCGACCGGGACCCCGCCGCCCTCGCGGCCGGGCTGCGGCAGCTGCGGCGCCTCGAGGAGCGCGCCCTCGCCGTCGAGGGGAGGCGCGCCCGGGAGCTGGCCGCGGCGTGGGCCGCGGGCGCCCTCTGCCTGCTCGCCGTCGGGGCCGCGGCCGGCGCCCGCTCGCGCCGCCGCGCCCTCGGCGGGGGCGGGCAGCGCCTCCCCAGCGAGGCGGTCCCCGGCTGAGGCCGCGGCCGCGCCCTCGCGGGGGAGAGCCGGCCGCGCGACGGCGGGCCGCGGGCGCCCTCGGGCGGGTCGCCTTGCCGAGCCGCCGGGGGCGGCCGCTCGCGCCGCGGCAGCCTGGAGGGGGGCGGGCGGCGCCTGCTGGTCGACTGCACGCAGGAGTGGCCCTTCCCTCGTGGACGACGATCAATGGGGAGGAAGCGTGTTGCCAAACAAGTTCCAGAGGTCTAAATCATGTTCTAGACATGTCTTAAACATGTCTAGAACATGTTTTTGAACATGGTGGGAGCATTCTTCAAACATTTTTGAACACATCTTGAATTCAATGTTCGGATTGTTAGTGTGTCCATTGTCATGGCATCCACAACGCTTCGCCGGAGTGACCTTTGGTGCGGGCCCACTGAGGCCCACGGGAATGCTGAAAGTGGTGCGGTAGTAGCGCGTCAGTCTTGCGCGCTGGTGTGTTGGCCCCCCCCGCGGCACCCCCAAATGCCGCGCATCAGAGGTCACCCGCGTGACCGGCCCGCTAGGGTCCGCCTGCCCGACCCGTCCCGCCCGTTAGGGCTCGCGTCGGCGATGGCAGCGCCGGCGAAACCAGCGCCGGCGGAACCAGCCGCCGGCGGAGCCAGCGGGGCGAAGCCAGCCGCCGGCGAAGCCAGCGCCGGCGAGCCAGCTCATGTCGGCGGCGACGATAGGGGCGAATGGCCCAGGGGCGGGCATTACACGTATTCGCCCGGGGGTCTTTTCGAAGGCACAGATCATCGGCGCACCTGAATCGACTAGACGTAAGAGTGACCCTTCGCCGGAGTGACCTTTGGTGCGCGCTCACTGGGGTCCCCCGACCGCCGCGCTCGTTGCGATATTAGCGTCTCGCGCGCTTGTGTTTGGCCTCCTCGCGCCCCCCAAAAAGCGGCGCACCAAAGGCCACTCTTACCCAGGGTCATTCTTACGTGCAGCCGACTGAATAATGTATTGCCCTCCCCTGGTTTTTCCGCCCCTACCGTCGCCTCTGATCATGCCACCCTTGCCCAGGGCCGCTCCTGCGTGCAGCCCGTCCCGGCAGGGCGGTCGTCAGCCACGCGCAGAGGGGGGTAGGGGGAGGGGGGAGGGCTTCTTAGAAGCACCCCTGCTTCTTAGAAGGCGCGGGCCTTCTCTGTAGACGCAAGGCCGGCGCCTTCTAGGAAGCAGGGGTGCTTCTAAGAAGCCCTCCCCCCTCCCCCTTACTCAGAGCGTGAGTTACCTACCCCGCTTTCGCTTCCAGGCAAAACCAAGTCATACCGCGCGCCTCCCCGTCAAGCGGCCTGGCCAGCACAAGCCGTAGTTTGGCATCGCCTGGTACCTCTTGGGGAAGCGAGGGTGGTCAACAGCGAGGCAGCTTTGTTTCCCCCCTATAAGAAGCCCTCCCCCCTACCCCTTTCCCCTACCCCTAGGAGGAGGAGGAGGAGGAGGAGGAGGAGGAGGAGGAGGAGGAGGGAGGAGGAAGGTAGGAGGGAGGAGGAGGAGGAGGAGGAGGAGGAGGAGGAGGAGGGGGAGGGGCCTCCGCCGGGGGGGCCTCCGCCGGGTGGTGGTGGTTGTGGCCGGCTCCTCTGGAGGGTCGAGGCGCGGAGGGCCCCCGGGGGCCGTCTCGGGGGGGTCCCTCTCGGGTCTCGGGGCGGGCCTCGCGCGTCGCGGGCTGCCCGGCTGCTGTTGTTGCTGTTGTTGTTGTTGCTGTTGTTGTTGTTGCTGTTGTTGTTGTTGTTGTTGTTGCTGTTGTTGTTGCTGTTGTTGTTGTTGTTGCTGCTGCCGTTGCTGTTGTTGCTGTTGTTGTTGTTGCTGTTGTTGTTGCTGCTGTTGTTGTTGTTGCTGTTGTTGTTGCTGTTGTTGTTGTTGCTGTTGTTGTTGCTGTTGTTGTTGTTGTCGTTGTTGTCGTCGTCGTCGTCGTTGCTGTTGCTGCTGTTGTTGTTGTTGTTGTTGTTGCTGTTGTTGTTGTTGTTGTTGCTGTTGTTGTTGTTGTCGTTGTTGTCGTCGTCGTCGTTGTTTTTGCTGCTGTTGGTGTTGCTGTTGTTGTTGCTGTTGTTGTCATTGTTGTCGATGTTGTTGTTGCTGTTGTTGTTGTTGCTGTTGTGATTGTTGTTGTTGTTGTTGGTGTTGGTGTTGTTGCTGTTGTTGTTGTTGTCGTTGTTGTCGTCGTCGTCGTTGTTGTTGCTGCTGTTGTTGTTGTTGTTGCTGCTGTTGTTGCTGCTGTTGTTGCTGTTGTTGTTGCTGTTGTTGTTGTTTGTTGTTGTCGTTGTTGTTGTTGTCGTTGTTGTTGTTTGTTGTTGCTGTTGCTGTTGTTGTTGTCGTTGTTGTTGTTGTTGGTGTTGTTGTTGCTGTCATTGTTGTCGTCGTCGTTGTTGTTGCTGCTGTTGTTGTTGTTGTTGCTGTTGTTGTTGCTGTTGTTGTTGTTGCTGTTGTTGTTGCTGTTGTTGTTGTTGTCGTTGTTGTCGTCGTCGTCGTTGTTGTTGCTGCTGTTGTTGTTGTTGCTGTTGTTGTTGCTGTTGTTGTTGTCGTTGTCGTCGTCGTCGTTGTGTTTGCTGCTGTTGTTGTTGCTGTTGTTGTTGTTGCTGTTGTTGTCATTGTTGTCGATGTTGTTGTTGCTGTTGTTGTTGTTGTTGTGGTTGTGATTGTTGTTGTTGGTGTTGGTGTTGTTGCTGTTGTTGTTGTTGTCGTTGTTGTCGTCGTCGTCGTTGTTGAACATTATTTATTCTAAAGAATAATTATTGTTGGGCCCCCTGGTGCGCGCCCCCCCTGCGCCGCCTAGGCCGCAGCTACATTTTCATCATTTTCGTGAGGAAGCCTCAGAAAAGAGGGTGTGTACAGGATCCGGTTGTTTTGTTGTAATCCGCTTTCCCTTGCAAAAAACAATAGAAAATGACATTTCTTGTTCTAATATAATCAAATTTCAAGAATCCCTTGCAAAAAATAAGGTAAAGTGGACATTCGCGCGCGCAAGACGAAATCCTTCCAAAACCTTAGTGTTCGCAGCGATTTTAACATAAAAACATCAAAAAACCAATGGTTTTTCAACAAAAAATGTCAAAATCTCATCCCGCGCGCTCTTGCGGATTCGTAGGAAACCCAACACTTTTTAAACATTTCTGTCAAACGGGCTTTTGCGAGCAACTTTTTCGAACTTCTGCGACAACGGTTGCGCACCTGCCAGGGCCATCATCCCTGTCAAATAATACCATGCGGGACACATTCGTTTTTTCTTCGCGCGCGCACGCCGAAATCTCCAAAAACCATTGGGCTTCTTAAGAATTTTAGCACCGCGCATCATAAAATCACACGAATCGCACCGTAGGTCCTCGAAAAACACCCGCTCTCTTCTCTCCTTTCCTCCTTGTCCTGCTCCTCCTCCTCCTCCTCCTCCGGCGGGGGGCGTGAGGATCCGGCATCGCTCACAACCATCGGGACAACCATCGGGACAACCATCGGAACAACCATCGGGACAACCATCGGGACAATCATCGGGACAGTCATCGGGACAACGATCGGGACAAGCACAACCATCAGGACAACCATCGGGACAATCATCGGGACAACGATCGGGACAACCACAACCATCAGGACAACCATCGGGACAACCATCGAGACAACCATCGGGACAACCATATCCTCTCTCTCTTGTGTATTCCCACATCCCTCAGGAATTTGCCCTAAAGATGTGATCAACTATCTTGTGAGTACGTATCATGTGTATCATGTGTATCATGTACCATATGCATCATATGCAACAGATGTTCTGTGGAAGGCTTAACAACTTCTGTGGGTTAACAAGGCTTAACAACTTCTGTGGGTGTACGAACGTAGGCTTAACAACTTCTGTGGGTGTGTACTCCACGCCAGTGTAGTAGCCACGGTCGTCCGCAGGCCACGAAGTGAAGTGTCCGAACGTCATAGGGCGGGAAGCTGGGTGTGGGTGGTGGCGAAGAGTCGTGTGGATATTTGGTAGAGCTTGCACTGCCCCCCCACAAAGTGGGGGTATTGGCTGGCGTCGCATGAAATCCCTGGCACTGGTGAGAACACTGAGCGTTCGGGTAAAGTGATTGCTGCTGTTGTTGTTGTTGTTGCTGCTGTTGTTGCTGTTGTTGTTGCTGTTGTTGTTGCTGTTGTTGTTGTTGTTTGTTGTTGTCGTTGTTGTTGTTGTCGTTGTTGTTGTTTGTTGTTGCTGTTGCAGTTGTTGTTGTCGTTGTTGTTGTTGTTGGTGTTGTTGTTGTTGTTGTCATTGTTGTCGTTGTTGTTGTTGTTGCTGCTGCTGTTGTTGTTGTTGTTGCTGTTGTTGTTGCTGTTGTTGTTGTTGCTGTTGTTGTTGCTGTTGTTGTTGTTGTCGTTGTTGTCGTCGTCGTCGTTGTTGTTGCTGCTGTTGTTGTTGTTGTTGTTGCTGTTGTTGTTGTTGCTGTTGTTGTGGTTGTCGTTGTGGTCGTCGTCGTCGTTGTTTTTGCTGCTGTTGTTGTTGCTGTTGTTGTTGTTGCTGTTGTTGTCATTGTTGTCGATGTTGTTGTTGCTGTTGTTGTTGTTGTTGTGATTGTTGTTGTTGTTGGTGTTGGTGTTGTTGCTGTTGTTGTTGTTGTCGTTGTTGTCGTCGTCGTCGTTGTTGTTGTTGCTGTTGTTGTTGTTGCTGCTGTTGTTGCTGCTGTTGTTGCTGTTGTTGTTGCTGTTGTTGTTGTTGTTTGTTGTTGCTGTTGTTGTTGCTGTTGTTGTTGTTGTTTGTTGTTGCTGTTGCTGTTGTTGTTGTCGTCGTCGTTGTTGTTGCTGCTGTTGTTGTTGTCATTGTTGTCGTTGTTGTTGTTGTTGCTGCTGTTGTTGTTGTTGCTGTTG